CTGCTGAGCAGGGAGTCCAATGCGGGACTCGATCCTGGGACTCGATCCTGGGATTCCAGGATCATGACCTGAGCGGAAGGCAGTCGCTTAACCAGCTGAGCCACCCAGGTGCCCCCAGGCCCTGCGATTTTAGCAAGCTTAGCTTTACCGTGTGCCAACTTGTACCGACTGCATTTTCCCTCAAGGGAGGGTGATGGCAAAGTCACCGTCCTTATGTAGTTACAAAGCAACTGAGCATTTAGATACCAAGGGGCTAGGTCACTGAGTTCTGGCCCCACAAGACCAGTCAGGATGGAGAGTCAAACGGGGGGAGGGGGGCATGATGTTTTGGGAATTTTTTTTTTTGATATTTTATTTATTTATTTGACAGAGAAAGCAAGAGGGGAACACAAGCAGGGGGAGTGGGAGAGGGAGAAGCAGGCTTCCCGCAAAGCAGGGAGCAAGATGTGGGGCTCCATCTCAGGACCCTGGGATCATGACCTGAGCCGAAGGCAGGGGCTTAACAACCGAGCCACCCAGGTGCCCTGGTTTTGGGAATTCTTTTTTTTTTTTAAGATTTTATTTATTTATTTGAGAGAGCGAGAATGAGAGAGAGTACATGAGAGGGGGGAGGGTCAGAGGGAGAAGCAGGCTCCTCGCTGAGCAGGGAGCCCGATGCGGGACTCGATCCCGGGACTCCAGGATCATGACCTGAGTCGAAGGCAGTTGCTTAACCAACTGAGCCACCCAGGCGCCCGGTTTTTGGAATTCTTAATGAGCAGCTTGAGTGGCCTTGCTTGGGTTGGTGGCCTTTCCCACAATGCCTCTGAGCCAGGAGGACCTGGTTCAGCTTGCCCCTATACACCTGGACTCCCCGCAGGAGATGCTCGCTGGGACGGATGGAAGGAAATTTGTTCCCATTGCACAAGACATACATGTTCCTTCGGGGAAAAATAATTTTTAAAAATGCAGATATGGGGGTGCCTGGGTGGCTCAGTCGGTTAAGCATCTGTCTTCTACTCAGGTCATGATCCCAGGGTCCTGGGATCGAGCCCTGCATTGGGATCCCTGCTCAGCGGGGAGTCTGCTTCTCCCTTTTCCTCTCCCTCTGTCCGTCTCCCCCAGCTTGCGTTCTCTCTCTGTCTCAAATAAAATAAATTAAATAAATAAAATATGCAGAATATGCAAAAAGAAAAAATTAAAGTGGAATCTTTGGATTGGAGGGAATCCCTTCAACCAGAGATCAACATCTCACTTATGTCTTCCTAGACTATGTATTTTATATGTATTCTTACTTAGAAGAATATTTACATGAAATCATACTATATACATTATTTTGTAACTTGGCTTTGTTTTTTTTTAACCTAATAAATCATATCTTTCCACATCAATAAGTACCTATTTATGACACAATTTACAAGTGGCACGGAAAGCTATTGTAAGGTTATACCATTATTTGCTGAGCAGGTGCCCAGTAGGGGTTGTTTCTTTGCTTTTTCTAAACAATGCTGCAGGGAATAATCTCGTGCTAATTTTTCCCCCTATGCCCTTAATTATTGTCCTTAGGATAAATTCCTAGAGGTGGGAATGTTAGGTCAAAGGCATGCATATTTCATCTTGTACTGCTTGTTTTAATCATGGCTTTTGTGTATCATCCATATACAGTCCACTTTCAGCTCTTCAGGAATGGTGGTGGGTGGGGACAGGGACAAAGCAGTGGGCAAGACAATAGAAATAGTATAGATATCTCTAGGATACTCATATCTGAAAGTGGTGCTGTCTAGAAATTAGCAATGCTCTAGCCAGGATCATGTAGTCAAGGAGGGAGGGGGCAGGAGATTGACTCTTCTCCCACTCAGGTGCCCAGTTTCACATTCTTTCCTGCTGCTGTGGCTCAAAGGCTGCCTTTATCCCTAGCTCTCCTTGCTTTTTTTCAGGTCTCTCTCTGTGTCTCTGTCTTCAGAATCTCCGACCATCCCTTTCTCTGTCTCTCTTTGTCTGTCTCTTCTTTCTTTTTCTTTCTTTCTTTTTTCTTCTTTCTTTCTTTCTTTCTTCTTTCTTTCTTTCTTTCTTTCTTTCTTTCTTTCTTTCTTTCTTCTTTCTTTCTTTCTTTCTTTCTTTCTTTCTTTCTTTCTTTCTTTCTTTCTGTTATTTATTTGAGAGAGAGAGCACAGAGGGAGAGGGAGGGGGAGAAGCAGACTCCCTGCTAAGCAAAAAGCCCAATGCAGGGCTTGATCCCAGGACCCTGAGATCATGGAGATCATGCCCTGAGCCGGAGGCAGACACTTAAATGTGTCTCTCCCTTCTTTCTCTCTCTTTTCCCAGACAAGGGAGAAGCAACTAATCTTCTCGTTAAACAAGTCTCTGTTGGTAAAAAGTCAAGTGTTAAGCATAGCAATTGCTGGGTGCTGGGAGAAAGGATAAATTTAGCTTGCTTCTTTATGCATCTCTGTACTTTCCAGCACCTTCTCCCATTTAAAGGCCTCCTTCCAAGCTGCAGGCTGCTGGGCTCTGAAACACAGTATCCCACACTGACCACAGCAAGATGGGATTTAAAAGCAGCACCGCAGGAGACTCAAGGTTGGCTCTCCCACCCCCAACCCACACTTGCTACATTCACTTCTGCTTCCTCCCACTTCCTTTCACACCTTTTATTATCTAAGAGTGGTCTGTCTCCTAAGCCAAGAAGATTCTATGGGGGAAGATCCTTATGGTCCTCCCCTCTCTAAGGCCTATCACTGTGGTTTGTCTATGGGAGGCCCTTCAGAAACCTTTGCTATTAGCTGGGAACTCCTCAAGGGCAAGGATGGGCCATACTCACTTTTGCCTACCAAGCCTCCCACGACCCTTGGTGGGTGCCCAATATTTGTTCAGTAAAAACTGACACGGAGGGGGCGCCTGGGTGGCTCAGTTGGTTAAGCGACTGCCTTCGGCTCAGGTCATGATCCTGGAGTCCCTGGATCGAGTCCCGCATCGGGCTCCCTGCT